TCAGGGACTCCGAAAGCACGAAGAACAACCCAGAGCCCAGTCTTACTGATGGTATAATAGGCCTTGACCAGGTCAATAAAGCAGAGATGTAGGTCTTTTGGGAATTCCCTACACCTCTGCTGTAGCAGACGGACAGAAAATATGGCATCTGTGCAGGACCGCCCTTTCCTGAAACCGCATTGGGGCTCCGCAAGCCTCTCCTCAGCGTGCCTAGCAAGGCGATGTTGAATAATACTTGCCAGGACCTTACCCGGCACACTGAGGAGTGAGATGCCCCTGTAGTTGTTACAATCGGTACGGTCCCCCTTCTTAAAAGAGGGACCACCAGGGCATCCTTCCAGTCCTGCGGAACCCGTCCAGTGGTCCAGACTGTTGTTATGATGTCATATAGGGCAGTCTGTGCACAAACGCCACCCTCCCTCAGCATTTCGCTTGGGAGATCATCTCTGCCCGGTGCCTTCCCTGGTCTCAGACTCCGGATCGCCCTCAGTACTTCCTAAACAGCTGGCCACCTCAGCCAGCCACTCACAGGGGATGACCTCTTCCAATATTTGAGGCACCGCAGCCTCAGCAGGGTTATCACCACTTTGTGCCATGATGTTTTCCTGGCTGAGAGAATTTCCCTCCCCCAGGACCTCACAGAAATGCTCAGCAAATCTGCAAACCTGTTCCTAGGGGGTCGGAGATTGGATCACCGTTTTTTCCTCTAATGATGGTAATAGGTGTGGCGCTGCAGGTTACTTTTTTGATGGAGTTAAATAGTGATTTGTGATCACGGGCCACTGAGGCAGACTCCATCTCCTCAGCAACCCGCGACCACCACCCATCCTTACAGCGCCTACGGCTCTCCGAACCTTCCGAGCGAAGGCTGCGGTAAACCTCCTCATTCTCTGACGTGGGATGCTGTAGGCGATGAGAGTGGGCCTGTCGCTTTTTCTCAATTAACCTGAACACCTCCTCTGTCAGCCAGGGTTTCTGGGGAGGTCTGGACCGCGTACCCAAAGCAGCCATTGCAGCTGCATGAGTCACAGTCTTAAACCTCGCCCATTTACCCTCGACATCAGGTGGAGTGGGGGACGATGCCAACCCCAGCTGCAAGCGATGATGAAATTCTCGCTTGCAACTTTCATCAGCTAACTGAGACCAGGCCACTTTTGGTTGGAATGGGATCCTGGGTGTACACCCACCACCGGAGTGGAAGAAAGGCAGGCGCATCTTACAGATGACTAGTCGATGGTCAGAGGGCAGATCAGCTCCACGGTAGGTCCTGGTGTCAAGGACATGGGCTCGCATCCGCTGGTCCGTCACTATGTAGTCCAGCAGATGTTCTTGCTTGGACCCGGCATGTATCCATGATGTTGTGTGGATGCGCCGATGCTGGAACAGCGTGTTGGTAATTGCAAGCCCATGGGCTGCACAAAATCTAGCAGCCTCCTACCGTTATTATTGAGCTGATCTGGCCCATGCCTTCCAATCACTCCAGACCAGGTGCCAGCATCATGACCAACTCGGGCATTGAAGTCACCCAACAAGATGACTCTGTCCCGAGTGGCCACTTTAGCCAGCACCTGTGACAGGAGGTCATAGAAGGCGTCTGACTCATCGGCCTTGCCTGCATCCCTCCACGGATGTTCGTCTTCGGTGGGGGCATAAGTAGCCACGACCACCACTCCTCGCCTCTGGTTGATGGGAAGGCGATCCCAAAGTATCCTGGGGCTTACAGCTTCCCACACCTGACCGCCACGCTCCCACGCCCCCTTCATTCTTTTGTTCAGAAGAAGAGCCACACCCTGTTGTTTGGCAGTCTCCTGCCCCGAGTAGAGGACTGTCCACCCCTCATGGTGGCAGGAGCCAGAACCGGTCCACCGGACCTCCTGAATGCCACAGAGATCCAGGCGGTACCGGTCCAGCTCCTGACAGAGGAGTGGCAGCCTCTCCTCCGCAGTGAGCGTTCGAACATTCCACGCGGCCATCCGCAATGGTTTTTTGTTGTTTATGGAGGAGCCCCGAGGGTGAAAATTCAATCTCCTGGCTCCGCCAAATGGGGTTTGGCCAGGAGACGTCAAAAAAGCCTGACCCCCCGGGGCCTCCGGCACAAGCTTATTAGTTACAGGTTCATGTTTAATTCGTAGTTTAGTGGTGGTTAATTGAAGGTGGATGGGTTACCAGCCCCTCGCACCCGTCCAGAGCCCCCGTTTAGCCACTGTGATGGTCACAGACGCCATGAGGGGAGAGGCCAATGGGCATTGGCCCTCCCCCCACAGCACTGCCCACGACAGACACAACATAGACACAGAGAGAGACACAGAGAGAGACACACAGAGAGACACACACAGAGAGACACAGAGAGAGACACTGAGAGAGACACAGAGAGAGACACAGACACACACAGAGACACACACAGAGACACACAGAGAGAGACACAGAGAGAGACACACAGAGACACGACACACACAGAGACACACAGAGACTCACAGAGACACGACACACACACACAGAGAGACACACACAGAGAGAGACACACACACAGAGACACACAACAGAGACACAGAGAGAGAGACAAACAGAGACACGACACACACAGAGACACACAGCAGAGACACAGAGAGAGACACACAGAGAGAGACACACACAGAGACACACACAGAGACACAACATAGACACAGAGAGAGACACACACAGAGACACACACAGAGAGACACACACAGAGACACACACCAGAGACACAGAGATACACACAGTGACACACAGAGAGAGACACACAGAGACACAGAGAGAGAGACAGAGAGAGACACACAACAGAGACACACAACAGAGACACACAGAGACACAGAGAGAGACACACAGAGACACACAACAGAGACACAGAGAGAGACAAACAGAGACACGACACATACACAGAGACACACAACAGAGACACACAGCAGAGACACACAGAGAGAGACACACAGAGAGAGACACACAGAGACACAACATAGACACAGAGAGAGACACACACAGAGACACACAGAGAGACACACACAGAGACACACAACAGAGACACAGAGATACACACAGTGACACACAGAGAGAGACACACAGAGACACAGAGAGAGAGACACAGAGAGAGACACACAACAGAGACACACAACAGAGACACACAGAGACACACAGAGAGAGAGACAGAGAGAGACACACACAGAGACACACAACAGAGACACAGAGATACACAGAGAGAGAGACACACAGAGACACAGAGACAGAGAGAGACACACAACAGAGACACACAACAGAGACACAGAGAGACACACAGAGAGAGACAGAGAGAGACACACACAGAGACACACACAGAGACACACACAGAGACACACAACAGAGACACACAGAGACACAGAGAGAGACACACACAGAGGACACACACAGAGACACAACAGAGACACACAGAGACAGAGAGAGACAGAGAGAGACACGACACACAACAGAGACACACACAGACCACACACACACAGACACACACACAGAGACACACAACAGAGACACACACAGACACACACAGAGACACACAACAGAGACACGACACATACACAGAGACACACAAACAGAGACACAGAGACACACACAGAGACACACACAGAGACACACAGAGAGAGACACACACAGAGACACAACATAGACACAGAGAGAGACACACACAGAGACACACACAGAGAGACACACACAGAGACACACAACAGAGACACAGAGATACACACAGTGACACACAGAGAGAGACACAGAGAGAGACACACAACAGAGACACACAACAGAGACACACAGAGACACACAGAGAGAGACACACACAGAGACACACAACAGAGACACAGAGAGAGACAAACAGAGACACGACACACACACAGAGACACACAACAGAGACACACAGCAGAGACACACAGAGAGAGACACACAGAGAGAGACACACACAGAGACACAACATAGACACAGAGAGAGACACACACAGAGACACACACAGAGAGACACACACAGAGACACACAACAGAGACACAGAGATACACACAGTGACACAGAGAGAGACACACAGAGACACAGAGAGAGAGACACAGAGAAAGACACACAACAGAGACACACAGAGACACACAGAGAGAGACACAGAGAGAGACACACACAGAGACACACAACAGAGACACAGAGATACACACAGAGACACACAGAGACACAGAGAGAGACAGAGAGAGACACACAACAGAGACACACAACAGAGACACAGAGAGACACACAGAGAGAGACAGAGAGAGACACACACAGAGACACACACAGAGACACACACAGAGACACACAACAGAGACACACAGAGACACAGAGAGAGACAGAGAGAGACACACACAGAGACACACACAGAGACACACAGAGACACACAACAGAGACACACAGAGACACAGAGAGAGACACGACACACAACAGAGACACACACAGAGACACACACACAGACACACACACAGAGACACACAACAGAGACACACACAGAGACACACACAGAGACACACAACAGAGACACGACACATACACAGAGACACACAACAGAGACACACACAGAGACACACAGAGACACACACAGAGATACACACACAGAGACACACACAGAGACACACAACAGAGACACGACACATACACAGAGACACACAACAGAGACACACACAGAGACACACAGAGACACACAGAGACACACAACAGAGACACGACACATACACAGAGACACAACAGAGACACACACAGAGACACACAGAGACCCAACGCCTCTGTGTCGAGAGAGAGGGGGGGGTTTGCTGCAGCAGAGACATTGTTAGCTGTCAATGACAACCCCCCCCCTCACACGTGACCCCCCCCCCCTCGCGTGTGACCCCCCCCCCTCGCACGTGATACCCCCCCTCACACGTGACCCCCCTCCCTCACATGTGATACCCCCCCCCCCCGCTGACGTGACGTCACGCGGCCACGTGGGAGCCAGGAAGTGGTCACGTGGTTGGCTTTGCTGCTGCTGCCGCCATCTTGATCTGTGGTGAGACGTTCGTTTTGTGGTTGTTGTGGTTGTTGTTGTGGGGGTGGTAGTTGTTGTTGTGGTTGTTGTGGTTGTTGTTGTTTACCAGGTACAGCCGCGCTGCTTCTTTGTTTCGTAGGGGGGACGTCGAGTGAGTTGCACAGCTGTGGAGTCGATGTCCACGTGGTATCGTGAGCACGTGGCAACAGCAGCAGCCGCAGCTTGTGTGTGTCAAGGCCACGGGAGGGCTGCTGGTTCTTGCTGGAATTCTCACGACTGATGACGATTGCTTGTGTTGTGAGCATTTTTATTTTACCTTTTTAAATCCTTTATATTAAGTTCACTTGCTTGCGCGCTTACTTACGACCGTGCAAATCTTTCGGTCGTTTTTAACCCTCTTCCCGTGATCCAATCGAGCTGACATGTTGCACACAGACTCGTTGTGCGAGACAATGTTCGTGAAAATTTTTCCAAAATTTTCCACTTTTTAGAAAAATGTTTTTTTCATTTTTAATTTAAAATAGCAATGTGATAAAAATGAAACTCTTACTCAAGAAAAACAGAAATGAATAATAAAATAAAACCGATGCCACGCATATAAAGGATTTATAGTGAAAAACTTTGTTTTTACGGGTTAATTTTTTCAAATTTTCTTGCTGTGGATTTCACACCTGATGATGATTGCTTGTGTTGCAGTCGAAACGCCGTGAGAATTTTAATCGGATCGCTAATGGCTCTGATGATGACAGTTGCTGTGAGAGTTGTATTTACCTAGCTACAATGCCATTGGTCAGTCTAGTGAATGGGCGGCACAGATGCTAATGCAACAGCAATGCCATTTCGAGGGTGTGGAATTCATCCTGTTATGTACGAAACTTGAGAACCCTAGCTACATACAATATCTGCTGCAAGTTTAATAGGGCTGAACATTGAAAATGTCTAAGTGTACAATGATTGCGATTACCATGTCTCTATAGTCGTGGTTGAAGAGACATTGTAATGTTTTAAACTATTTTATCTTTTCCTGTAATTTCTTGAAATTCTCTTTTGGCTGGTTAAGTAAAGACATGCCTTACAATGGCTGCCCATAAAAAAAATTGTTTTCATGCATTTGTTTTCTGAGCCATTTGTTTTAGTGGCCAGGTACTGGGCCGATTCTGCTGTGAGACCCGAGTGTGTGCTTCGCCGGGGAGAGATGTAAAAATGTAGGTGAAGAATGAAATAAAAATTAATTTAAATAAAAGAATAAAAATCACGACGTTTCGGAAGCAACACAAGCTTCCGTCTTCAGGTGAAACTGTCACCGCAAAATATCTGTTTCACCTGAAGACGGAAGCTTGTGTTGCTTCCGAAACGTTGTGATTTTTCTATTTTTCTTGGTTCTTTCGGTCAAGTCGTCACGTAGAAGGGAAGTAATAAAATAATAAAAATAATAAAATAATTTTCACGACGTTTCGGCCACAACGCAAGCAGCCGTCCTCAGGTGAAAACCAGGTCTGTCGAGGAGACAGCGTCTGAATGAAACAGCACACGAGCTTGGAGCATATATATAAGCTGGGTGGGGAGGGGGGGAAAGGGCGCTTCGACAAAATAATTTGCATATCAAGAGGAATTTAGCATATTCATGGGAAATGCAGGAATGTGATTAGTACTACTTATGCCCGTGCATTATGCAGGATTAGCAGCATCAAAGGGAGGGGATATGGGAAATGCAGGTAAGTGAATAGTACTACTTATGCCCGTGCATTATGCAGGATTTGTGATTTATGCAGGATTTGTGATTTTTATTCTTTTATTTTAATTTCATTTTTTACCTACACGGTGACTGTACCGAGTATGAATCCTTGCAGTCGCGAAAGCTTCAAATCTCCAAGATATCAAAATGGACGAGCAGTGCATGCATCAGGACGGTGAGGAGCTGCAGCAGCAGCAGCAGTCTCCAAACAATCGGAAGGCTCCTTCACTCACCATGCAGAATGCAGCTCAGTCTGTGCAGCAGTATCCTCCTGCCTTGGCAGAGGCAGCAACCCAGACTTGTCAGTCTCCACAGGCTCAGCCAGTTGAGCACACCCCACAAGTGCCTAAGGTGTCCACTTCTGGCAGCAGTCAGCGAGCGAGTGGAGAGGCGGCTTCTGATACGAACTCCCAAGGTGATCACTTTGACTGCCCCTTGTTCACACACACGTGCTGTCTAGCTATTAAGACACATTTGAGGTTTTTGTAAATTATATAATTTCACTAATAGGGGTTTTCCCCTTTTTTCTGGCAACAAACTGACACCTTTTGCAAGGAATAATGCTTACATTAACCACAATACTTGCAGTCAAATGCAAACAAAAAACAATACTCTGATAATTTATGCATTGTTTTTGAAACTGATTGGTCCACACCAGAGACAGCTTTCTTTAGAGCCTCGTCTCATATGGTTTTCGACCAGATGACGCCAAGTATTGTGGTTAATGTAAGTATGATTCCTTGCAAAAGGTGTCAGTTTTGTTGCCAGAAAAAAGGTGAAAACCCCTATGAGTATATTTTGGTACTGGCAAAGGAGGTCCCATGATGACGCCTTTTGGCGTCATCTGGTCGAACACCATATGAGACTAGGCTCTAAAGAAAGCTGTCTCTGGTGTGGACCAATCAGTTTCAAAGACAATGCATAAATTATCAGAGTATTGTTTTTTGTTTGCATTTGACTGCAAGTATTGTGGTTAATGTAAGTATGATTCCTTGCAAAGGTATCAGTTTTGTTGCCAGAAAAAAGGTGAAAACCCCTATTAGTATATTTTGGTACTGGCAAAGGAGGTCCCATGATGACATCATTTCAATGTATTATTCTGAAAGAAATTGTCCCTGCGTGTACTCGCCTTACCTGTCCGCTTTTGCCACTTAACCAAATCCTCAGGCTGCGTGAAAGTGGTGCACGACATGCTGATGACTGCAAGCAACTGTGGCAGCAATTGGCCATCCGACCAAGAAGACATATTTCGCCTCCTGGTAAGTTACCTGCTTTCGTTTAAATTCCTCGCAATCACATGTCACAATAAGCATTTCATGTTTGAAAGAATTTGCTCTGCGGTCTGTATGTATGTAGGTGCATGGGAGAGAACATTTTGAAATATTAAAGAAAATCAAGGAAAACCTGGAGCTAATCCGAACGCTGCCCACGGATGCCAATGTGTTGCGCAACCTGCAGCAACAACAGTACGTGAACACGAAATAGACAATCGTTGCTCTTGCGAGAGAAGTTCCCGATTGCTGCTGTAATTAAATGGTAGCAACAGAAGGGAAGTAATAAAATGATAAAAATAATAAAATAATTCTCACGACGTTTCGGCCACAACGCAAGCAGCCGTCCTCAGGTGAAGAACAGGTCTGTCGAGGCGACAGCGTCTGAATGAAACAGCACACGCGCTTGGAGCATGTATATACGCTGGGTTGGAAGGGGGGGGAAGGGCGCCTTGACAAAATAATTTGCACATCAAGAGGGTTAATTTTTTGGGTTTTTTCTCCCTCCCAGATACGTGACGGAATTGCGTGGCAGGCCGTCCAACCTCAGCCGACACGGCAGCGAGTGTTCACAGGAAGTCTTGGCCGGCAGCCAGGGACCCTCCAGTGCGGGCGAAGGTTCCTCATCAGGTGACGCAAGCTCTCCCTGCTCGGCGCAGCACATTTCTCTGTACGGAACGTGGCGGCACGCGGTAGAATTGAAAGACGTGACATAATTTGCCACAAAGTGATACGCACTCTTCTTGGTTCTTTCGGTAAAGTCGCCACGTAGAAGGGAAGTAATAAAATAATAAAAATAAAACACGATAAAATACAATTCTCACGACGTTTCGGCCACAACGCAAGCAGCCGTCCTCAGGTGAAGAACAGGTCTGTCAGACGCTGTCTTTCCGACACACCTGTTCTCCACCTGAAGACGGCTGCTTGCGTTGTGGCCGAAACGTCGTTAGAATTATTTTATGATTTTTATTATTTTATTACTTCCCTTCTACGTGATGACTTTACCGAAAGAACCAAGAGGATGAATTCAATATTACTCGTATATGTGTTGAGGTGTAAATGGTTTTATTGCGAATGCTCATCCACTGGTTGCAGGCGTTGCACAGGATGTTGTGACGGGTGAAGCGAGTGGATCCAATGGTCCCCCACGGCCACCGGACGGAGACAACCCACGGGCCCGGCTTGGAACCCTGCCGGACAGCGGCAAGCCTGGCAACGCTCTTTACAAGTAAGTGCCCTTTAGGTGCATCATCGTCGCCACCTTTGAACATCGTCGTCATTTTTTGATTTAAAGCTTTCGTGACTGCAGGGATTCATCTTCTTGGTTTTTTCGGTAAAGTCACCACGTAGAAGGGAAGTAATAGAATAATAAAAATAAAACATAATAAAATAATATAATAATATATTAAAATAATATAATAATGTTGCTTTCCTTCTACGTGACTTTACCGAAAGAAGCAAGAAGATCGTCATCATTCACGCTCTGAAAAAAATTACAAATAAATGAAAGGGATTCTTTGCTGAAATAACCTTTTCTACTCTGAGACATCTCTTTTAGCGGTGGCAAAATATAGTAGTAGGTTTTTACCCTTTTAAACTGGTACAAAACTGACACCTTTACACAAGGCATCATACACCTTGAGACATCTCCTTTACCAGTGGCAAAATATAGTGATAGGTTTTTACCCTTTCAACTGGTACAAAACTGACACCTTTATACAAGGCATCATACACCTTGAGACATCTCTTTTAGCAGTGGCAAAATATAGTGATAGGTTTTTACCCTTTCAACTGGTACAAAAACTGACACCTTTATACAAGGCATCATGTTTGCAATGACCACAACGCAAGTAGTCAAAAATGCCAACAAAAAGAAGCAACTCTGATAATGATAATATGCACTGTACTACTAAACCTTTTCTACTGTTGCGTCTGCACGCTCCATTCTTTTTCATGATGTATCACTGCTTTATTTAAATGGCTTATCCTTGACGTATTCTACACTGCAACATCTTCCCTAGTCACTGGGTAGGTGGGTCGGTATCGGCCTCGGATATTCTGATGAGCACTCTACACTGCATTAGATATTTTTAGTTGACTTGCAGTGTTTATAACACTCCTTTATTATATACGAGTCTGGGTTCTTCAAGTGTTTAGTTTGATCGGTGTATACTCGACTACAATACTTAAGTCGGTGGGTGAATTAAAACAAAGCAAAGTTCATCTTCTTGGTTCTTTCGGTAAAGTCACGTATAAGGGAAGTAATAAAATAATAAAAATAAAACATAATAATATAATAATATAATATACATGATAAAATAATTCTCACGACGTTTCAGCCACAACGCAAGCAGCCGTAACGTCGTGAGAATTATTTTATTATGTTTTATTTTTATTATTTTATTATGTTTTATTTTATTACTTCCCTTCTACGAGACTTTACCGATAGAACCAAGAAGATGAATCCCTGCAGTCACGAAAGCTTTAAATCGAAAAGCAAAGTTCGTAATGCAGTTTGGGCTGATTTTTGCACTTGGATTTCCAATAAAAAAAAGTCATTATTTTCCATAGGGATATACAGTACAAGCAATGTAAGTGTTGCTTCACATGTTATTTCTAATCGCAATGTTTACGGAGTAAAAATGTGCAAGTTAATGTAATTCAGCCGTACAAAGTACTTTTCGTGCTTCTTGTATTTGGTATTAACATTTTGGAGCCTTGTGTGTGTGTTGTTTTTTGTGTCTCAAGCTTCCTGAAACAAATAGACTGCTTGGAGTTTTTGGAGAATTTCACTTCACGTGGATTGTCGAGTGTCCAACAGCTGATGAACGTCACTCTGCAGGCAAGTTCCTACGGACGCTTTCACGCAAACTACGCGTGTTTTTTAACGAATACAGGATTGGGATTTATTTCTAAGTTTTTCTGCAACATAAAAAAATGCACAAAGAAGCTTGGAGAAGATGGAAGGTTGGAATTAAACTTGTAAAGAGTTAATGCGTGTGTAGGTGAGGGTGAGTGGTGAGGGTGAGTGGTGAGGGTGAGTGGTGAGCGTGAGTGGTGAGGGAGAGGGGTGAGTGGTGAGGGAGAGGGGTGAGCGTGAGTGCTGAGTGGTGAGGGTGAGTGGTGAGGGTGAGTGGTGAGTAGTGAGGATTGTAGTGCCACAAGAGGGGGCTCTGGGACCCTAGGCAGAGAAGCCCTTGGCGGCAGGCGCTAGGATCCCAGGCACCCCAGACAGCTAAGCCCCTTGGTGCCACCAGGGGGGGGGCTGTGTGTGCTCTGTGGGATACCTGGGGGCGCACACAACCCCACCCCTCGTTGGGCACGAGGCATAAAAGGGCAGCTCCCTGGCCGATCAGGGCCAGTCGCAGGTCAAGACCCGCCAGCCAGCCAGCTTAGGACCCTGTACCCCCTCGTCCCGCTTGTCCTTGTAAGGGCCGGGACGCTGTGAGGGCCAGTGGTGGGACTCTGGGACTCCCGGCTCTACGTCCTTGTGAGGGCGAGTTCCGAGGAAGCCAGAGTCCAGACCCGCACCTTGGCTGGGTCGGACCTTGGCTGGGTCGGGTCAGGTAGCCTCCCCTAGGGGGATTGTAGCCGGAGGACCCCAGAGCATAGCCAGAGTAGTGTACCTAGGCAGTGTACCTAGGCTGTGTACCTAGGCTGTGTACCTAGGCTGTCTACCTAGGCTGTGTATCTAGGCTGTGTACCTAGGCTGTGTCGCTAGGCTGTGTACCTAGACTGTCTACCTAGGCTGTGTACCTAGGCTGTGTACCTAGGCTGTAACAGAGTATCAGGACTGTTGGAGTGTTGTATTGTAATAAAGAAGTTACCTCTACAAGTGTCTCCGGAACCCATTACACGTGGATACCGAAACATGCAAATAAGAAACATTGACAACTGCAAAAAAGTAGATGGGCTTCGGCAAGGGAACATCACTGGACTGCATTGGAGTGGCATCCAAAGTAGAGCACACATCACCAAGAGGATGACCACCACAGAGATTCGAGTTGTGAGATTAGTTCGTATGTAGTTGATAGATGGATCGTCACATAGCTCGAGTGAGGAGGCTGAGGAGTCCTGATCCAGTAGTGGGTACAAATAAAACACATTCCTCCTGCGGAGGGAGCGGGTAGGAACGTTGGGTTGCTCGGTCAATGGCCAACTGTGAGGGCCGGGCACAAGCCGTCGTGAGTAGGTTAAACGTTGAGTTTTATAAGGGCACCACGGGGTGACCAGCCCCTCCCCACCCAGCCCCACCCCACCCTCCCCACCCAGCCCCTCCCCACCCTCCCCTCCCCACCCAGCCCCTCCCCACCCTCCCCTCCCCACCCAGCCCCACCCCTCCCATTTTTGGATGCACGATGGACAGACACAATCATCCCCTGTGGGCTGGTGGAACCAGGTGGTTCCTACCGGTAATACCGACTGATTTTGTACATTAATTGCTCTGAGGAATACACGTCGTCAGAAATTTGAAGAATGTTGTATCGTACACTATGGGAACCTCATTTGCCAGTAAAAATATCATAATTGTTTTTTTACCCTTCTATCTGGCAACAAAATTGACACCTTTTTACAAGGAGTCATGTTTGTATAGACCACAATACTTGTCTCGGGTGTGGACCAATCAACTTCAGGGACAGTGCATACATTATCAGAGTTATGTCTTTTGTTTGTATTATGACTGCAAGGTATTGCGGTCTATGCAAACATGACTCCTTGTAAAAAGGTGTCAGTTTTGTTGCCAGATAGAAGGGTAAAAAGCCAATTATCAATGTTGTATCGCTGAACACAAGTTGGTGTGTGTGTGTGTGCATATTTTTTGTATTTCGCTGGATTTTAGGACTTGGATGAACTGGGAGTCCCAGAAGCCAAAAAGCGACTGCTATTGAGTGGAATCGAAGAGCATGGCGTGTCCACCACGATCTCCAGCGAGACGACGCTGCAGCGCTCGTCCAGTGAAGAGACAGTCCACCTCAGCTCCGAGGACGACGACGATGACGGCATCGACACCAAGGACGGCATCCGTGCCAAAGTGTTCCCAGCGCTGCGGCCCTCTGGCAGTCATCTGTCCTCCGTCGGCAATCGGTATCGCAAAAGCAGCATTGCCAAATACAATTTGCGAGCGCACGCTCGCCAAGCCGTTGACTTTCCTCGTTCTCGCAGCTGGGGAGGCAGTAGCAGCCTGGAGGTGCCCAGGAGCAAGATGCCAAGATTGTCTTCATGCTCTGACATCGAAGAAGAAGAGGGGCTGGAGTGAGAAGAGGAGGGGGGTGAGCGATAGATGGATGATGGTGGGAGGTTGTGTGGGCCATGGGTTGCACTTTGTATGAAAAGCCCTTGGGGTAAATAAGCTGGTGTCTTTCGATTGAAAGCTTTCGTGACTGCAGGGATTCATCTTCTTGGTTCTTTCAGTAAAGTCACGGTCGACAGACCTGTTCTCCACCTGAGGGCGGCTGCTTGCGTTGTGGCCGAAACGTCGTGAGAATTATTTATTATGTTTTATTTTTATTATTTTATTATTTTCCTTCTACGTGACTTTACCGAAAGAACCAAGAAGATAAGCTAGTGTCGTTTCACTCGCAGTTTCAATAACTTCCTTTGAGCTTCTTCTTGGTTCTTTCGGTAAAGTCACGTAGAATGGAAATAATAAAATAGTAATACTTTTTTTTTTATAAATTAATTCTCACGACGTTTCGGCCACAACGCAAGCAGCCGTCCTCAGGTGAAGAACAGGTCTGTCGAGAAGACAGTCTGTTTTTATTTATTATTATTTTATTACTTCCCTTCTACGTGACTTTACCGAAAGAACCAAGAAGATGAATCCCTGCAGTCACGAAAGCTTTAAATCGAAATTCCTTTGAGCTTGCTTGCATAGTTTTTTTTTTTCCAGAATGCAGTCAATAGAATATAAAGCAGCATCTTGGCTTTACTACCCAAGGCAGGAACTTGTCTCTTCCAAGAAAGAAGTGAATGACTTGTCAGTTTTGTTCCTTCTTAATTTTGGAGCTTTCGTGACTGCAGGAATTATTCTTTGGTTTTTTCGGTAAAGTCACGTCTAAAGATAAAACGTGCCGTTTAGGTCATCTGGAGTTGAAATATACAACACGTTTTGTTTCCGTGCAGAGGAGATAGCCATGTTCAGAGAAATGTGCTTTTTTGTTGTGTTGCATTTGCTCGACTGTTGAAAGATCGTTTCAAATTTGCATCTTTTGGAAGGATGAACACGAAGTGGGAAGGTTTTTGCAAAATCAGATGTTCTCATACTCCAGAAGATTGTTGTACGGGGCCTGTCTGCTCTCACCTACTTGATAACAACCCCAAAAATGCCTAAATAAAAGTTGATTTGTGACATGTTCCATTCTGCAAAGTTTTATAGACTTTGCTGCTGGTAGCAGATGTAGAGAAAACAACACCTGTCTACACTTAGTGTTCATGGAACTGTCTTAAGCGTATATATGCAGTGGGTTTTTTTAAAATCCATTATATTAAGTTCACTTGCTTGCTTGCTTAGGACCGTGCAAATGTTTCGGTCGTTTTTTAACCCACTTCCCGTCATCCAATCGAGCTGACATTTTGCACACAGACTCGTTGTGCGTGACAATTTATGTTCGTGAAACATTTTTTCCCAAATTTTACACTTTTTAGGGAATTTTTTTTATAAATATTTAATTACCAATTGCTTAATGGTGGCAGGCAATCATCTGACCCATAGGTGGCAGCCATCTCAAGCCAGAGGACAAGAGGACTCTAGTCGCCACGCATATAAAGGATTTAGAGTGAAAAACTTTGTTTTTACGGGTTAATTTTTTGTTACAGGTAGGAACAACAGTTCCCCACCACCCACCAGGGATTATTTGTCTGTCGTGCATAGCCCCTCCCACCGTGTAGCACGCTCGCGGATTGGTTGAAGTGCGTCACGTGACCGCGAGCTTTCTGCCCAACCAAGTTCCTAGCTGGCCACTGTGAAGGAACGTGATTGTGCTGTGGATTCAGAAACCCGAGTTTGAGGGTGACGTCCGAACTGCTGATTGTTTGGGTGCTGACCACTGGTGAAGTACCCGTCTGGTCACTGTCTGCATCTTGGAGTGGATTGAACAAGGGCTGTTGATATTATTGAGCTTTGATTAAAAGCCAAAAACCTTTAAAGTACAATTTGAGGAATTGTTTTTCTGGATAAACCACTCGGAAAAAATATATCCAATGTTTGAGTTTGCATACGGAGCCCAAAACCACGTGTACGTTTTGCAATGTGCTTTATATTTTGTAGCAATCACTGCCTTTCATGTAAACTGGTACCAGGTGCATACAGCGCATGGGAACGTTCAATTCGAATGTGCAATTCCCTGGAATAGCTACAGTAGTGATTTGTTTACACAAGTTTTGACAATAAAAAAAACTCTCTTTGAACCGTTAACACGATCTTTTCTGACGGTGTGTTTTTTAATCCAACGTGGCGCGATAGAAATATTTTATTTGCCTTCGTACACGGGTTGATATTGACGGAGCACAGGCGAGTATCACTTTGACGCTGTGGTGGATTGAGAGCAGATATTTGCGTCGGGGGTAGCTGAGCGAATCGCCGCGTGGTAATGATGCCTCCATATGTGTCAACCGGGATGTTCTGTTCTGGATCGCAAACAACAAAGCACCTAACACTCACACACACACAGACTCCTACACACACCTAACACTCACACACACCTAACACTCACACACACCTAACACTCACACACACCTACACACTCACACACACCTAACACTCACACACACCTAACACTCACACACACCTAACACTCACACACACACACACACCTAACACTCACACACACCTAACACTCACACACACCTAACACTCACACACACCTAACACTCACACACACCTAACACTCACACACACCTAACACTCACTCACACCTAACACTCACACACACCTAACACTCACACACCACCTAACACTCACACACCTAACACACACACCTAACACTCACAACACACCTAACACTCACACCTAACACTCACTCACACCTAACACTCACACACACCTAACACTCACACACACCTAACACACACACACACCTAACACTCACACCTAACACTCACTCACACCTAACACTCACACACACCTAACACTCACACACACCTAACACTCACACACACCTAACACTCACACACACCTCACACACACACCCAACACTCACACACACCTAACACACACACACCTAACACTCACACACACCTAACACTCACACACACCTAACACTCACACACACCTAACACTCACACACCTAACACTCACACACACCTAACACACACACACCCTAACACTCACACACACCTAACACAACACACACCACTAACACTCACACACACCTAACACACACACCTAACACTCACACACCTAACACACACACACACCTAACACTCACACACACCTAACACACACACCTAACACACACACACCTAACACTCACACAGGTGACTGATGGATGAGCGGGAGCGGCGCTTTGTAAACTCGCCTTCATCGTCTCCCTCGCCGACTCGCCGAGTGTTTGTGTTGTTGTTGTTGTTGGAAACGTCCCGACGTCAGATTGAAGCTTGGACGGGCGAGCCAAGGGAAGCTCCAGCAGCGGAAGAAACTCGTCACGTTGCAGACACCGAGTGACGCGTACCACGTGACAGAGACGCCAACTCCCACGTGCCCTTGAATGCCCCTTCTCGGTTCAAGCGGCGCCCGTTCTGCACGCACAAAAGTGTGATTTTGATGATGAACTAAGGAGCAACGAATAAATAAAACCCGGACGACGCCGTGGCAAATCGGAGTTCTGTCTGCTGCCAATTCTCGTCGGCATCTCTCGCGCAACGCGGACCGCACTGCTCGCGTTCCTCGCCCGTGCCGGCCACACGGTTGATATCGGCAACAACGACGGAGCGAGACACGGAGCGAGATAAAATAGCCGCCTCCTATAATTTACGCTTCAACTAAAAAACAAGTATAACCCGTAAAAACAAAGTTTTTCACTCTAAATCCTTTATATGCGTGGCGGCTAGAGTCCTCTCATCCTCTGGCTTGAGATGACTGCCACCTATGGGTCAGATGATTGTATGCCACCATTAAGCAATTGGTAATTAAATATATTTTTGTCCTAAAAAGTGTAAAATTTTGGAAAAAAAATTTCACGAAAATAAATTGTCACGCACAACGAGTCTGTGTGCAAAATGTCAGCTCGATTGGATCACGGGAAGTGGGTTAAAAAACGACCGAAAGATTTGCACGGTCGTAAGCGCGCAAGCGAACTTAATACAAGTACAAGTATAACTCGTAAAAACAAAGTTTTTCACTAACAGGTCCCTGCGGGGTGGGCTGGTAGGAACGAATAACCAAATAATATAAACATAATGTATTGTTACACTTGTTTAGCCAGAAAAGCCTCACTGAGTCTAAAGGTTTTTGTAGGGTCCTGCCAAGTGTTTGCAGTAGGGGGCGATGTTGCTACACATAATCGGACGGACGGACGATATAATCTATTGTAGGCTGGTTCACTTCGTTCCTACCAGTATAAATCCTTTATATGCGTGGCGGCTAGAGTCCTCTCGTCCTCTGGCTTGAGATGGCTGCCACCTATGGGTCAGATGATTGCATTGCACCATTAAGCAATTGGTAATTAAATATATTTTTGTCCTAAAAAGTGTGTGTCAGTGTGTGTGTCAGGCTGTGTGTCAGTGTGGCGAGGAGTGGTGGTGCAGCGGTTAGCGCGCTGCACTACGAACCCGGATCCCCGAGTTATATTCCCGCTCACGGCCAAAACCAGCGACGATTACCTGAACCGGCACTGCGCCTCCCCCGGGTCGACTCAGCCTCAAATGAGTACCTGGTGCGGTGTGTAAACATCGCCACTGGGGAGATAAAGGCGGCCGGGCGTGGTGCTGGCCTCCCACCCCCTCCTCCACCGTTCCGGCCTTATAGGTGCTCGCTAACAGCACTTGCCCCAACAGCCTGTGCAGGCTACACGGGTGATCTTTGTCTTTGTCTTTGGCGCGCGCCCTCGTTGCCTGCCCTCTCCTACATGATCAGCGTCGTATTGCGCCTTTGGGCGTCATCTGGTCCAACACCATGTGAGACTAGGCTCTAAGGAAAGCTGTCTCGGGTGTGGACCAATCAACTTCAAGGACAGTGCATACATTATCAGAGTTATGTCTTTTGTTTGTATTACGGGGCGCTCTCCGCCGCCGCCCTGCGGGGGGGCTCCCGCGGACGGCCGTGCGAGCCGCTCCTCCGCCCTCCTGCCGCCTCCGCTGCCTCCGCTACCGCCGCCGGCTCGCTCCATGGCAGATCGCTGCGGCTTCTTGTTGCTGTTGAGGGTGGTGATGCAGCGAGAACAGCTCCCTGTATCATCACAACCATCACCAACCATCACCAACCATCACCACCATCACCACCACCCATCAC